AGTGGTTGCCAGGGGTCAGGAAGGAGAAGGCATAGCATGTGACTACAACAAGCAGTAAGAGAGAGAAGTGTTTTGTTTTGTTTTTTTTGGGGGGGTAGGAATGTGATGAAACATTTTTTATCCATAAAAAATCTCCATTTGTAACTGTTGGGATTGAAGAACAAGGTTTGCTTCCAAGGTGCATGTTAATTACTCTTCTTTTAATTAAATTTATTTTAATAATCAGCTGTACAAGTAGTTTGTGGTATATATGTGGAAAATCATGCCCTAATTGATGAATCAGTTCTTCAAATGGGAAGGAGGAAGGAGTACATATTACCCACATGCCAGTGTTTTGATGTAGGTGGAATTCACTGAAGAGCTGGGCATTTTCGATCTGCCTTTCTCCTGAAGGGAGTTTTGTCTCTGAAGTCATCAGAGGGTTTTTGTCCATGTTCAAATCTTTGTAGGCAACCAGATGGCTGTTCCAGGAAACAGCTTGGGCAGGGGTGAGTTGTATAACGTCCCCCCCCCCCCCCCCCCCCCGCTGCAACCTTTCCTGTAGCAAAAAATTGTGAGCCCTCTCACGACATTTAATCACTACTCTCTTCTGCTTTGTATGGAAATCAAAGTGACAGGATTTTCCCAATTTTATTTATGGAGACAGACATCAGAGGAGCAAAGCAAGAGCTCTAAACAAATACATCTTAACCACGAGGCTTGCATGTGTTGCAGATTTTCTGTCCCAGGACAGATGTGCAACCTCGCTCTTCAGAAGGGACCTGAGACCTCTAACCCCTTGCTAAGAACAAAAGATAATAGTCTCAGTTGTGGTATCACATGTGTTTCCCATGAGAAGGGAGACTCTCCAGGGTCACCTCCCATTTGTCAGACTGTCTTGTGGGCACCCCCTGGTGGTCACAGGTGGAGTGGCTCTTTGTTCTTTGCATCTAGAAGTTCTGGGGCTGGAACACTGGTGTAAAACAAAAAGAAACATTCTGATTTGTTTTTTTGTTTGTTGGTTTTTTTATGGTCAGCAAGAAAGAAATAACTGACCACCAAGAGAAGCAGCAGCAGAAAATGAAGTATCTTCTGACCAAATGGTGTTGACAGGTGGTCATCAGAGCTCGGAGTCCTTGTATTTTTCTCCAGCTGCGTTAGCAAGTTTTTTTGTACCTCCTCCCGCTCCCCATGTTTTACTTTTCTCATGTGGAAAATAGGAAACTTAAACGAGGTTATTTCTAAGTGTGCTTTCGGCTTTACACGGAGCTACTATCTACTATTTATATGTTTAGTAGGTGTCTTCTACTGAGGTGTTGGATGCCATTTCTGCCACCTGCCTGCACCAGCCCTGAGAAATGGAAGAAAATATGAAGAGGTCATGTGATAGCTCTTTGACCTCTGTCTTTTAGCCTTTTCTATATGTGGCAGCAGGAACTTCCATAACATTTCAAAGAGGCGATTGTGATTAGAGCATAATGAAAGCCAGTCGAAGCGGAGTTTAGTTCCTTCCCAAAGGCTCCCCTCCAATCACTATTAACACCCACTCATTTAGGAGAGACTTTGGATGCAAGTTTAAATCTTGCTGAAACCTGAGGGAGACACCCTCTTTCACACCTATGGGTCCCCCCTTGGTTTAAGGCTTCCTAAATCCTGAAGCTATAAGTTGTATTTTCAAAGCACATCTCACAGTTAGTTACATCTTACAGATAACAAGGCAATCGATCCCGACAATGCCCTGGGTATTTTCAGTATTTGTAAGCAGAGCTACTTAATTACTCTCTACCTCCATTTCATTACCTTTGGAGCTTTGAAAGTCAGAGATCCCATGGGGACATGCTTTGTAAAGGGCCACACAACATTAGTGAGTGTTAGTAAAGGCGATTTCACAGTCAGATCCCAAGATGGTACCTGGAAGTTAAAGTGCTTTCCTACAGAACATCAGCAATTACTCCCAATGTTTCTTGGATTAGAATTATAATTCCTCTTCGTGCAACTTGTCCTCATTTGAAGGAAGATAAGTAATGTTTCTTAGAGAAAAACACATCCTACAAGTGATGAGCTGACTACATAGAAACCCAGAAAGAATCACAAGAAATAATGCAATTCCCATTGATCTGGCTATTAAAAAATACAGTATTTGTTTGATGAAGAGGACAGAAAAACAGTCATCTATTCTGCCATAAGGAAGCCTCCATGTCAAACTTCTGGGGGTGAAGAACAAGGTCCAAGGTCTTCATTTTCTTTTTAACAATCAACTCCAAGAACAGTCCATGGCAGGTATAAGAAAAATCAGATCCAAACTGATGAACCCAGTTCATCAAGTGGGAGTTATAAAGTACTTTTAAGATTAAATAAGAGGAGATGTGTTTTAAATGCTTAACAAAGTAAATGATGAAGAAGCCGTAGCCTCTTAGGAATAGCCTCATATTGAGGGAGCCCTGTATGTTTTTGGAAGAAATGCATGGGAGGAACCAACTGCACTGGGAGAGAAATGATGCTGAGCTTTCTCTCTAGAGGGGGAACCCATTATAGGGGGGACCCCGGTGTATAGTCTGTTATCCCGGAAGATGAGCTCTTTCTACCTTCGTAGTGTGATTCTGAGTTTCCTGCCTTGTGACCCTTGAGCCATTGAATTTCCAAGGAGTGACCTCCTTTTCTTGAACCAGTCTCCAGTCCCTTCAGCACCTGTCTTTTTTCCCACAGGTCAGCCTTGGTGTTCCTCCTGCTTTACATGCACACCCCCCACCCCGACTCTGCCCACCACCCCATCCTTTGCGCCCAGAACGATCCAGGGACTGTATCTCTGCTTTCTTGGCCTCTGTCTCTCATCACGGTCCAATTGCTCCCTCATACTGCCTTCTTTTGCTCCCAATTGTTTGGCACAATGCCTGGCAGGTTGGGGATAAAGCTTATGGCACGTGGCTGTGTACCTTTCCTCTGAGGACTCCTTTGATCCTGGGGAATGGCCGGTGGTGGGGCATCTACTCGGAGACATGAAGATGGTGGCGCCTACCCCAGAGCGCACACCTAGCTGTTCTGCGCCGCCAGCAAAGACTGGCTTTGCCAAGTTTCCTGCCTTGCTCTGTCATATGTTGTCTCTTCCTACAGTAATCCGGGGACTCTTTTCATCCCAGGGTTTTATTCCAAATGGAATGTTAAGAGGGTTCAGATGGGAGAGACAGGTCAGGGCCGTGGGGGTGGGGAGAGGTGTGAGCTTGTCCAGATCTGTGGCTTTGCCAGGGCTGTTTTTAAGTTGACACAGGGCTAAATAAAAAGCCCCTTGCTTTGATCTCAGGGACTTCCTGGGTAGACTGTCTGATTAGATAAAGATCACGGATCCCCCACCCCCATCCTTTAGGAAGTATTCAAAGCTTTGCAGCCATTCTGCATCCCGGGCTCCTGTCTCCTTCCCAAAGTCTGCCTCTCTCTGTCTCTTTGCGTCCTTCTCTGAGTCTTGGGATTTTCTCTGTTTGAACGGGCAAAAGAGCCTGAGAAAATAAGGTTTTTATTTCCCCTTTAATTCTTAAGTTGTTTAGAAACAAAGTGGAGGCTTTGTTTGAGAGCCTCATATGGCCCTCGTCTGGTCCTGGGCATCAAAGGGAATTGGTCTCTGTTTGCAACATGGTCAGCGGCTGGGGTGCTTACAAGCAAAGTTGTCGGCAGGTGGAGGGTTTGGAGCGAGAAATATAGTGAGTCCCTGCCTAGGTTCCTCGGTGGAGACAATGGGTGTGAGGTGTATGTGTGTGTGGGGGAGATTCTCTTCTCCTAGAGCAACTGAAACTCTAATCTAGAAGGAGACACCCAGGAGACACCCAGAAGCTGTCTTTGATGTGATGAGGAACTGACTTGGTCTTGGGAGTGGGGTCATTTTAAGAAGTGCTCGAACCTGAAGAGTTGCCAAACTGAAAATCCTCTAGGCCAGGCCACAGCTTTCCAGCTTGGTTGGGGAGGAGAATCTCTTTATGACATTAGAAAACTGAGACTTTGCAAATTTTTTTATTTTACTTAAGCTTCTGTGCTGACCACTGTTCTAAGTGATACACACACAATTTGCAAAACGTCATTGTTAACTCATTAAATCTTCATGACACCCCTTGGAGCAACAGTACCATTTGGTAATCATATATTACAAACGAGGAAACCAAGGCACAGAGAAGTTAAGTACCTTTCTCAAGGTCACACAGCGAGCCCGTGGCAGATTAAGGATTCAAACCTAGACAGGGTAGCCCAAGAATCTGCCTGCCCACCCCCCACAACTCACAACACACACACACACACACACTTAGAAAATCACTAAGAAAATACAGATGGAAAGAAGTTATAAATTTATGAATTCATTAATATTTTAGAAATGTTTACACACACATGAAAAATAGTCACTTGTGGGAGGCAGTTGAATGTAGCGGTTTATTCATCAGTTTCACAAGCATTTCTTTGAGCGCTCACTGTGTGTGCCAGGCCCCGAGATAGGTGCTGGGATGGAGCGGTGCCTGAAACACCAGGGTCCTGTGTGGACGCTGAGGCAACAGGCCTGCGCCCAGAGGCCAGGGTCACGTTCACACTGCAATGCCACGGAGGGTTTTCAGTGGTGTGGGGCCAGGTCCTGGAACTTCCTGGAACACAGCCTTTTCCTCCCTGGACCCAAGCAGCCATCATCGCTTATCCAGAGAGGAAAAGCCCTGCTCTGGGCAGGAGCCGCAGAGGGACTTCTTACCTGCTCCGCCCACACTGGACATAAGAATTTTGACTACAATTGTCATAGCCAGGATGCACATGGGTTAGACACCTGTGGGAGAATCGACTAATTTCCTCTGCAGTATCTTCTTTATTTGTCACAGAATCGTTATTTGTTAGCTGGGGCACCTGGCTGCCTCAGATAAAGTAATATATCTCATCGTCTTTTGCAAACTGGGTGTGGCCGCATGACTAAGTTTTGGTCCATGGAATGCAAAGAGAAGGGGCGTCTGTAACTTCTGAAAAGCCCTTTTTCACTTCTTGCTTTTTTTTTCCCTAACTAGGAAATGAATGTGATGATGTGATGGCTGGAACGTTGGCAGTCATCTTAGACCCAGGGACTGAAAACGGCTTGAGGAGAAATGTGGAGCAAAGAGATTGAAGGAACTTGGATCCTTACCGACCTGGCACTATCTCCTGCAGACTTGTTTTTCACGAGAGAGGAATAAACGTCTATCTTTCGTAAGCCATGGTTATCTTGTTTTTCTCTAACCTAATGTAGTTAAACCTAATGCGAGTTGATACAGCATCCCTCCTAAATAATATGTGATGTGGTTTTATTCTGAGTTTTATCTGAACCTTTGTAAAGTACCTAATGTCTGTCCAATATGTTTCTTTTCTCTTTAATCAGTTAAGTTCTCTTGTTTTGAGCCTTGTCTGTCTCCACGTTCTGCCCTTGGGTTTGCAAACGCAGGATGCTGCCACTGCTTTTTGGGTTAAAATGCCTCCTCAAACACAAAGCTAGTGTAAGTATTTCACACAGCAGTCTGAACTCTCTTGGAATTTGGGAACTATATTTGCTTAATGCATGCTCTACCATTTTTTCCATGGATTTGAGCCTTAGGCTCCGGTAAAAACAAAAAACAAACAACAACATCCAGTGCTTTTCTAGGGCCCATGAGCCCCTCATCAGTGCTGGGGGTGGAGCGGGGCCCTCACGGCAGGGCATGGAGAGTGGGACCACAGGGAGGGGAGCTGGGCCTTTCCCTCAAGCTTCATCTGCTGCCCCCGCCCCAGACCTTGGAGTCCGGGCCACCTCCTCAAAGCAGGCTTGGCAGATTCTGTTCTTTGGTGACTTTTCAGAACTGCCCGTGCTTCCTTCCCTCAGCACCCCCGAGACCTTCCTGCTCACTGCAGAGCCCGGCACAGTCTCCGTGGGACACATGCTGGTCAGAGAGCCCCCTTTCTTTAACCAGACTCCAGCCATATGTGTGCCAGGGGCCTGCTGGGCCTCAGGCCCAGGGATGACAGGTTGCCATGCTCCTCCAGAGGTCTCTCTCTGTCTCTCTATTTTTATATCTACTAGTATCTATCTATCTATCTATCTATCTATCTATCTATCTATCTATCTTATCTATCATCTGTCTATCATCTATCTATCAATCTATCATCTATGATCTATCTATCCTATCTATCTATTATCTATCTATCTATCTATCTATCTATCTATCTATCTATCTATCATCTATGATCTATCTATCCTATCTATCTATTATCTATCTATCTATCTATCTATCTATCTATCTATCTATCTATCATCTATCTATTCTATCTATCTATCTATCTATCTATCTATCTATCTATCTATCATCTATCTATTCTATCTATCTATCTATCTATCTATCTATCTATCTATCTATCTACCTATCTATCATCTATCTATCATCTATCATCTATCTATCTATCTATCTATCTATCTATCTATCTATCTATCATCTATCTATCTATCTATCTATTTCTCATGTGTGTGTGTGGGGGGGGGGATGAACTTAACTTGCAATAATCTTTTTCCTGTAGGTATTATAGCAACCTTAGAATTCTGAAAACCAACCCTTTTTCTTTTGGACAAATAAATGAGGTAGGATATGGGATTTTTCAAGCCGCCATTTCACCTTTCTTTTTTCTCTTTAGTTCTCTCTTTTCTCTGACCTGTGCCTTGTCTAGCTCTTCTTCTGCTCTCCAAGTGACTATTCCCTGTTAGGACTAAGTGAGGCTCATCCCTCAGCCTTGGCTCTGGGACACCTGGACGTGACGGGATCCCCGGCCCTGGGGTGTCTGAGCTGTCTTCTGTGGTTCCTGTTTCTGACTCGATGTAGCAACACCTGGCGTGCTGTGCTCACATCCGGTTCATCCAGCCGAAGCCAGCAGGGGCTGATAGTCTAGTTGTTCTTTTGCTGTTTGGTTTTGGCAATTAAATTTTTCAGAGCAAATGGTGGGCAAACTCAAATGCTGGGTGATGGCGAGGCATGGCCCACAGAAGGACTGAGGCCCAGGAGAAGCCCGCTGGTTTCAGAGGGCCCTGCTGGAATTCAGAAGGTGCTCAGAGGAGAACCCAATCTTACTCCCTCGCATTCCCACCTAGCGTCTGGCTTGGTGCTAGGAAGGGGTGCAGAGGGAACAAAAGTAATCAGGGATACCATCGTCACATTCAAAGGACAAACAGCGAAGGAAGAAACATGGGTTTGGAGCCTCACATATCCAGGTTTCAATATGGCTCTACTCCTATGATGGTGGGCAAGTCTTCTCTGAGCTCTGGGTCCTCACCTGGGCCATTTCAACAGGTGATTGAGATGATTTCCCGATCCAGTGTCCAGCATGAAGGAGATGATCAGGAAGCAGGGGTTTGAGCCTGAACTGGGAGCCAGAGGCTGAGGGTTGGCATTTTCATGCTGCCTCCCAGCTCCTCCTGCAGCCCTGGAGGCAGGGATGCAGGGGAGAGGGAGCTGGGCATCAGAAAGGGGCGGGAGGGGGGAGGAGGTTGGCTGGAGGCTCTGTTTACCCCAGATGGTGCACATGAAAGAGGGGGAAGTGGGGAGAGGCAATGCATGCTTCTCTTGGAGGAACCGAGGTGGCTAGTAGGAGTGGCTTTACCACCTGGGACGGGTGACTACAGGTGTCCCGACCACTATCAGCCCATGTCGCCTGCACACCCTCCTCTGTGTGTGGACTCACATGTGCCAAGGGGCGTTAGGATAATGACCTTGTACAATGCCATCCACACTTACTACATCATTTGTTTTTTCCTTTCAGTTTTGCTCACTTTTAATACTTAGTTTAAAACATAGCCTATAGCGAAAATAATATAACAATTGTGCATTACCCAATAATCAGATTCAACTAGTATTAGCATTTGGCCATGTACATATTTTTAGGTTTCTTTTTTTTTAAAAAAAGGAAATAAGATATTTCCTTTAAAGTTTTCCACATCTCCCCCGCCCACTGCCATTCATTTCCAGAAGAAAATGTTATCTTGAAGTTGGTGGTTAGCCTTCCTGTGCATAATTTAGTACCTTTGTTACCTAAGTCAGTATCCAGACATCATATGGTATTGTTTTGTGAGTTTTAAAATGATTGAAATTGTATAATACTTTACAAGTCTATTTGCAATTTGTGTTTTTACACATTATACTTTTATGACACATCTGTGACAAGATTCATAGCTCTAGATCAGCAGTTCTCAACCTGTGGGTCACAACCCCTTTGGTGGTCGAACGACCCTTTCACAGGGGTCGCCTAAGACCATCAGAAAACACATATATAATTACATACTGTTTTTGTGATTAATCACTATGCTTTAATTATGTTCAATTTGTAACAATGAAATTGGGGGTCACCACAACATGAGGAACTGTATTAAAGGGTTGCGGCATTAGGAAGGTTGAGAATCACTGCTCCAGATTACTTATTTTAACAGCTGAATGGCATTCCATCTCAATAATACAACATGGTTTATTTGGCCATTCCTATGTTGGTGGACAAGTTAAGTTGTTTCTAATTTTTGATAAGACGAAAAAGGGCCCATGGGAGTGAAATTTGCGGAATTCTGCCATGACAGCTTCAAGTTTACTAGGTGTAGTCAAAGTATTCTCTAACGTACATCACCATAAACAGTGGCAATAAGCACTCTGTTTTCTCACCAACTTTCCACCTCTGGGTATTATCCATTTGTTTTGCTAAATAAAATGGAGCAACTCTGGTTTATTAATTACAACCACGAGAATTCTTCACACCCTCATCTAACCCCGTGCTACCTGTCACATTGTCATCCGAGTTAGCCCCATGAACCACTCATTTGTGACAAGGGTTTCTGTTCATTCTTTTCTGTATCTCCAGCAGGGTAAAGGGTGACACGCACATAGTAAGTGCTCAGTACACAGGTGGTAGCTTAAATCTAGAGAATGAAGAGATCAAAGAACAGAGTGATTAGGGGAGACTTAGTGTAGGGGTAGAACCAAGGCTGGTCAAAGAATCAGAACCTTCAAATACTCCATGTCAACCAATGGAATAATTTTAGAAGACTTTTGAGCAGTGTCTACTAAAGTTGTGCATGCCCTATGACCTGTTAACTCCGCTCCCAATAGAGGTGTGTGCATATGGGCACTAAAAGACACCCGGACTGTTCACAGCAGCACATACATAAAAGCTCCAAAATGGCAACCACCCAAATGCTTACTATGGGAGAACAGTTAAATAGCAAAGTGCAATACTAGACAGTGATGAGCCTGAATGGCCTATATCTGCAAAAAGGGGTATGGAAGACCCACACAATATGATGTTGAGCAAAAGATGCCAGACCTCAAGGAGTATATGCTGTGCAATTCCATTAACTTGAAGTTCAAAATAATGCAAAAAGAACCTAGCATAAAAATTATGATACTTTTGTCTAGCCAGTGTTGCTCAGTGGTTGAATGTTGACCCATGAACCAGGAAGTCAGGGCACATGCCTGGGTTGCAGGCTCAATCCCCAGTAGGGGGTGTGCAGGAGGCAGCTGATGAATGGTTCTCTCTCATCATTGATGTTTTATCTCTCTCTCTCTCTCTTCCTTTCCCTGAAATCAATAAAAATGTATTTTTAAAAATTGTGATACTTTTGTGGGAAGTGGGTCATGAGTGTAAGGGGGCACAGGAGTGCTGGTAATGTTTTATTTATTTTGTATTGAGGTAAAATGAACATATGATGAAATTTAATTTTAAGCGCACATTCAAAGAATTTAAACAAATACATACAGTTGTGTATTTACCACCATAATCAAGATATGGACCATTTTTATCACCCCAGAGAGCTCCCTTGTGAACCTTATGTTCTATTTCTTGACTTTGATCATAGGTTTTGGGCGGTTCTCAACCTGTGGGTCACGAACAGTGAAAACACATCCTGCATATCAGATATTTACATTACAGTTCATAACAGTAGCAAAATTACAGTTATGAAGTAGCAACGAAAATAATTTTATGGTTGGGGGTCACCACAACATGAGGAACTGTATTAAAGGGTCGCGGCATTAGGAAGGTTGAGAACCACTGGTTACATGATGTGTTCACTTTGTGAAAATTCATTGAGCTGCACATTTATGACACATGCATTTTTTCTAAATACATATTATTCATCAATAAAATGTTCCAAGAGTATTAAAAAACAAAGATTGGCCCAGAGAATGGCAATTGGCTACAAGATGGTCGAT